TTGTTTGTCAGTCTAGACTCTAGGAGGTGCCCCACCCAAGGATCGATCCTGCTCAGCCTCTGAGCCCCGTCCTGATTCAGTCAAATTTGGGAGAACCACCTGTCCTAGGAAGCCAACCCTTCCAGCATGAGGCCCCTTGCGATGTCCTGACCAAAGCTTTGGGCGAAGAAGAGTTTTTTGCAGTGGAATTACAGCTTGCTTCGTCCCTCCCCACTAGTCTGCTGATTTGAAGTACAGGAAGTTCAGCCAATCGGAGAGCCCTGCTCGGTCTGGGCTCCCAAAAGACCACTCCTCCCTTGGATGGCATTTTCATTCTGTTCTCTGCCGACTGCAGGTATTTCAGCTTTCATTTGACAAATCACCTTATGGTGTCCTTTTCTGCTCCTGTGTTGGGCGCTGGGAGAGCTCGCTGTTTATTTGGACTTTTCCCTCCCTCTCCAGTCCAAAGAGCAAATCTTGATGCTGCAGAGATAGCCTCCTCTCAAAGATGACTAGCTGCTTTGAAAATGCAAATAGACTCTCCTTGGAGATAGCAGACATGTTAAAGGTTGCTTCAGGCATCCGAACCGACCTCTTTCCAAGGCAGAATCAAAAGAAAAACCTTTTCTTCACCTGCCTCTTGGCCCTGCTTGGGGTTTTTTTTAAAAACAATAATTTGGTTCATTAGGTGTTCCCAAGATAGCGGGAGATGTTGTCAGCCCCTGCAGCGGCTTCTCTCCACCACTTCTAAAGGACTATTTTTGATTTCACTTTAAAAACACCCCAAAACAAGGAGCAAAAAAAAAAAATCTAGATTGTTCATAATTCATGAAATCTCTATTTCAGTATTCAGATGTTAAAAATGGATCCAAATGTTCTCGTGAGGTGTGGAGCTCTGGGGGAGGGTGTGAGCAAAAATGAGCTGCCAAAAGTTTGAAAATGCTGGATTTTACTCCATTTGGGGTGAGATTTGGATCCTCTGTGGCCAGAGCCCTCAGTCCAGGAGGTCTGTGCCCTGTGGGTTTCGTGAAAGTTGTTTAAATGAACAGCTGGGGCTGGATGCATAGGGCACGATCCTCGGGCTTTAATTGAATAAACCACAACTACGTAACTGGATTTGCACATTCTGAAAAACAGGGCGCTACAAACCACAACGTTGAGTTCACCCTGTGGCTGAGCTAATGTCAAAAAGAACCCCCTGGGGCTGATCTGGGCTGGGTGAACCGGCTGTCGAAATTGTATTTTATTTTTATTTATCAAATCTAGAGACCGCCGATCTCCCTCAGAGCAACTCTGAGCAATTAAAAAAAACATAAAACCATATAAAATGTATTTAAATGTGCATCTTGTTTAAATGGAGCATCCGAGTTTCCCACTCTGCCTTCCCCTGGCAGAGGGGCAAATTCACACCAACACAAAACATACATACGTTCAGAGAACATACACATACACACCGAGAGAGGTTCTCCCCCAGGCAGCCTGGAAAGGTGGAGCCTCCTGGTTCTCTTCCTACCAGGAAAATACCACTTGGACGCGGCTCGCTGGTATTTTACGGCTGTTCTAACAGCTCCTTACTCGGATGTGATGAAATTACAGCTGAAGGGATTTCTCAGTTATGCAAGGCTGGCGGTTCTTCGCGCTACTTTGCTAATAGGGCATCTTTATCTCCAGGCTGGCCAGGTGGAAGGGCTGAGGCTGCAAGACGCAGGGAGGAAGAATCTGACATTTCAGAGAGAGTGTGTGTGTGTATGGGGGGGGGGTCTTCTGGCTTAAATGAGGGTGAAGTTTGGGGTCCAGAGGCCTGGAGCACTCTGGGATGGCACCGAGTAAGGCAGAGGGTGTGGCAATGTCATGGGGATGCCGTCACTACAGCTGTTCTAATGAAAATAGCTTCAGGTCTACACGGTGTTTGTTTCGTGGTCTGGTCTACCTCCTACGGCTGGCATATACAAGGTCCTTTTCTATCTATTTATTTTAATGAAGTCTTGCAAAAGGTGAATTTAAGCCTGAGGTCAACAGATCCAACTCGCCAGGCTTCTCAGGAGGTGAAGGCTACGTTTTGCACCCTGGGAGAAAAGGGTCCCTCTTCTCATTTCAACCCTTTGACTGAAATGGTATAGGATTTCCTGCCTGAGCAGGGGTTGGACTAGAAGACCTCCAAGGTCCCTTCCAACTCTGTTATTCTCATAGCTTGGACCCGTTCCTTGTCTCTTGCAATTTGGTTCCATTTTGGAAAGCTGCTCTAAAAGGGCCTGAGCCCCTCTTAAGGTTCCTAGCCCCTCCCCAGTCATCCTTCAGGGGCCTCCAACCTCAGTCTGCTGTCCTCCAGATGTGTTGGCGCAGGGGATTGTGGGAAGCCGAATTCAATTAGAAGTCACCTCCTCAGGAAAGGATACACTGAGCAATGCTAGAGCCCATATTTCTTCTTGGTGAAAAATGATTGGCAGGCACGGAGATGAAAATTCTTGATCTCCTCCTCCTCCTAGACGGAAGGGTCCTTCTGGGACCCAGGAGGGGAACGGAAGCCCTGCCTCCTCCTGCCCCGGCTGCCTCATTCAAGGAGCGAAGCTGATGGTTCAGCCTTTCTGCGGCCCATTTTGTGCTGCCGTGAAGAGCAAAGAGGGAGGAGGCCTCCTCATCTATTCAGGGTTTGACAGCAGTCCAAGCGGCCTGGCGTCCATCCAAGGGCCAGCCCACCCTCGGGTCCTCTGGCAGAGGGAGCAGCCATCTCCGCTCCCAGGGCGAGCAGTGTCTCCAAGGGGGGGCTGCCGGGCCATTGCTCCCTGTCCCCAGAGGGACACGTGTGTGTGTGTGTGTGTGTGTGTGTGTGTGTGTGTGTGTGTGTGTGTGTGCGTGCGTGAGAGAGAGAGAGAGAGAGAGAGAGAGAGAGAGAGAGAGAGAGAGAGAGAGAGAGAGAGAGAGAGAGGGAGGAGCGGCTTTCTGCAAGGTCTCCTGAAAAATGGAGGTGGTTGGGCAGACGAAAAGGGCGCTTCCCCACTGGAGTGCAGGTGCCACCAGGGATAGGAGGATCCAAGCCGGACTTGAGAACGGGCCCTGCTGTTGTCTTGGCAGTGTGTGGCTTTGGAAATTGGGATTTTTTTCATCCACGGAAGGATCTTCCGTCTTTCTCTCTTCTGTGAAGGGGCACAGAAAGCCCTGGGTTCTCGACTAAGCACAAAGATATCCACAGCACGATGTATCAGATGGCAGGGAGTTCCACAGGGTGGAACAGGCCAGGGTGCATATTTGGAGCTCGGTGGGAAAGAGAGAGACTGAGGGGCGTGATTTTGACCCAAGACCTGGAGACCAGAGGTTTGAGGAGCAGGATGGCAGCAAGGAGAGCAAGCCTGTTCTTTCTGGGCAACCCCCTCAGAACGCCAGGCCTGAAACGCAGATATTCTTAGGTTGAATTAAACCAGCTTTTGAGGCTTCTTCTCCCCCCCCCCCGTCTCTTTCTCTCTCGCTCTGCAATCTGCCTGCCTTAGCCAGCCAACCGCAGACGGCTGCACCACAAGGGATTATTACTCATCTCCTCTTCTGTTATTGCATGGGTGAGGAGTCCCCTCTCTCCTCCCCCCCCAGTCACTGAATTCTGATGTCTCACTTTCTTCAAGCTCCAGTTTCTCAGATGAGGAAAAAAGCTGCTTAGCCAAAGTCAGGTGTGAAGGTCCATCATCACAAGAGTCAAGCTTTGCAGTTCAGCCTGGGAGGAAAAACCTTAATCCAGAAGCTCCTTCCTTCCTTCCTTCCTTCCTTCCTTCCTTCCTTCCTTCCTTCCTTCCTTCCTTCCTTCCTTCCTTCCTTCCCTGAGATGAATCCTCAAATATTAGTAGGGTCCCCGTGGTGACACCATTGAGGAGGAGTTAATTTAGACCTTTGTGCAAGCTGCTGTGTTACTGGTTTCTTTGTCCGCTTTGCATTTTAATTGGGGACATTCTTTTTATGCTGCTCTAATTTACCTTTTGCATTTTAATTAATAAGCATAACCTCTTCGAGGTGTGTCATGAAGGGAAGCATCACACCCTATGAAGACTGTGCTTGCCTGTGGAATTAGTTCCCCTGTTGGGTAACAAAACGGTTTTTAAGCCAAGGTTATTGATTAAGCCATTGTTTATTCAAAGCCAAATGCTGATAGCACTAACCCTAACATCAGCTCAGGAAAGAAGGTCAGAAAGTTACTGGTCTCTATCAAATCTTTGTCAGGGTCGTAGTCAGCTAGCCCAGGGGTTCCCAACCAGGGTTGTGAGACGATATTCCAGGGGGTGCGAAAACTTGGGTTTTCAAAACTATAGTGCATATGCATAATTCGTTGCTGTTATTTTGAACTTTTGTAAGGGGTGCGAGAATATATCAGAAGCATTTTAGGGGTGCGGGGTATAGAAAAGGTTGGGAACCACGGGTGTACCCTAAGAAAAACAAAATGCAAAAAATTAGTTATTTAAAAAAATAAAAAATACAAAGTTGGGCGTGGCAAGTTGTGGCTTCTGTGCAGGTTAAGACAGAAAGAGCACTCTGATCTTGGGGCCACCCTGAGAGCATCATAACGGGGCAAGACCCGGGGAGGGGCACCGGCAGGAGGCGTGCCTGGACGGGGGGGGGCACGGGGAGAAGGAGCGCCTGGGCGGGGGGAGGTCAACGCGGAGGGGGCGGGTCTGGGCGGGGGGGGCAACGGGGAGGAGGAGCGCCTGGGCGGGGGGCAAGGCCGGGGGCGCGCGCAGAGTCCCGGCGGCGTCTAGGCGGCGGCGCGCGCGGCGGGCTGGCTCCGGAGCGCAGCCAGGAGCGCGCCGGGGCGGACAAAGGCTCGGGCGGCGCGGCCGGGCTGGGCGGGGTCTGGCCGGCGAGGGCGGGCCGGAGGCGGGCGCTGGAGCCGCAGCGGGCGGGCCGAGTGGCGGCGGCGGCGGCGGCTGGGTTGGCTGGCCGGGGCCGCGCTCTTCCTCCTCCTTCTCCCGGGCGCGGGCGCTGCGGCCAGGCTGCTCCGGCGGGGCGCGGCGGGGCCGGGCCGGGCGGCATGGGGCGGCGGGCGGGGGCGACGGCGGGGCTGCGGGGCCGGGGCGGCCTGGGGCGGTGACCGGGCCGGCCGGCGGCGATGCGCCCGCCCTGGCCATGGAGGAGCGCTGGCACCGCGGGCTGGCGGCGCTGCTGCTGCTGCTGCTCTTCGGCGGGCTGGTGCTGCAGTACGTGTGCCCGGGCAGCCAGTGCCGGCTGCGGCAGCCCCCGCCCGTCCCCGGGGCCGCCTCTCTCCGGGCGGGGGGCGGCGGGGCGGCGGCGGCGGGGGGAGACCCGTACCGGGCGGAGGACGAGAGCCCGGCGCGCTTCGTGCCGCGCCTGAACTTCTCGGCGGCCGAGCTGCTGCGCCGCGTGGACTTCCGCATCGCGGGCGACGACCTGATCGTCTTCCTGCACATCCAGAAGACGGGCGGCACCACCTTCGGCCGGCACCTGGTGCGCAACATCCAGCTGGAGCAGCCCTGCGAGTGCCGCGCCGGGCAGAAGAAGTGCACCTGCCTGCGGCCCGGCAAGCGCGAGACCTGGCTCTTCTCGCGCTTCTCCACCGGCTGGAGCTGCGGGCTGCACGCCGACTGGACCGAGCTGACCAACTGCGTGCCGGCCGTGGTGGACAGCAAGCGGGAGGCGCGGCTCCGGCCCAGCCGGTAAGGAGAGCGGCCGCCCGGGAGGGGAGGGGAGGGGGAGGGTCTCGTGAGGGGGCGAGGAGAGCTGGGTCCCCCACCCCGCCCGCAGAGGGGCTCCCCGCGGCCTCCTGCCCCGCACCGGGCCCGAAGGAGCGAGCCCCGCGGCTGCCTGCAGGTCGCTGCCCCGGCCCATTCTCCCGCCCCGTCGGGGAAAGGGAATGTTCGTGCCCGTTTTTTCTCGGAGGGAGGGGGGGGGAGATGGTTGCGCAGAGGCTCCCAGGTCAGCTGGGGTCCCGGGGAGCCCCTTTGCGGATGCGACCCCCGCAGTTTCGCTCCGGAGCTGCCGTGGGAGGGCCGAGCTCGGCGTCTGCTTTTTAGGGGCCTTTTTCTCTGGGGAAGCCCACCCGCCCCCTTTCCCCCCTGGGCAGAATCTGGTCTGGGTGGGCTGAGCTTTTCGGCGCGCTTCGCTGGAAAGTTTGTGGGTGGTTTTGGGCTTTGGCAGCCTTTGGGGGGGGGGGGGGCAGAGGGGATCTTAAACACCGCAGTGTCCCGTCCCTGCGGTCTTTCCAGGGCAGCTGCTGCGCTTGATGGGTCAGCAAAGTTCTCCCTTTGGCCTCGGACCGCAGCGGGGAAACCGAGTTGATGCTGGTTAACGGAGCCCCGCCTGTCTCGGGAGCCCTTGCAAGGGCTGGACGTAGAAAAAGCCATTTTTACCCTCTGAGTATGGCTCTCCTTGAGTGATTCCTGTCTTGGAAAGCAGATCTGTGGATGCCGCTCAGTAATCTAATTTCATGCCTGTTTAGCAGCCCGAGGTTGGGACCCGGCTGAGGGCATCTTCAGATCTCCTTTTGGCAGGAAACTCATTTAGCCAAATGCGCTAGGAGGTTTTGCTCCTCGGATGCCTTTTTAGCCTTTCCAATGTGACAGATGCATAGATAAGTTGGATTTGCCTCAAACCATGAGACAGGTGGCAAATAAATTTAATAATAATAATAATTTAAACCTCTGAGGCTGAGAAATAGTCAGGCCTTTGGCGAAGATGTGAAACGGAAACAGGGCTTGTGAGCAAAGCAAAGATGGGGCAAAATGGATATCTGGAATGTAACAGAAGGTGTCAGGTTGCACACTGGCCAGGTTGTGTGTCTTAGGTATGTTGTCTTAGGGAGAATGTTGTGGCAAAAGGCCTGGGTTTAAGGGATCAATTCAAGATGGAAGAGATTGTGGGCCATGTTTGTTTATTATTTATCGAAAGTCTTGCAACATTGATAGACAGATAGCCAACTGTGCAAGATTTTTGCGCACACATTGTTTTCACTCTCCCCTACTTTAACTTTTGGTTTATTTGCTGGAGACAACAGATTCTTCAGTATTTCTGAGCCTGATTTCGTTGCAAAAAGCAGTGTTCCATACAGGGTGCCAAAAGGGTGACCAAGAGTGGTTCACAACAGTCTTGCAGAGAAGACCACACCTGATTCTACAAAATATTAAGCCACGCTGTGATTTATTTACTTTGGGCCACATAGGCTGCCACTGCGGCTTACAAACCTTGACTTATGGTTTAATATGTTGCATGGACCCAGCCAGCAATAGCTTGTTCAGCTAACTGGGATTTAAACAGATTATAGCTTAGGAAAATGTGTGACCCCAATCAGTCTCCCTCCTAGCATCCGGTCCTTGGTGCTTTCTGAGCTTGTTGTCTTGCAGACATTTCATTACCAAACTAGGTAACCTCATCAGTGTACTGATGTTACCTAGTTTCGGTCATGAAACATCTGCAAGAAAACAGCCAAGCTCAGAGACCATCAAGGGCCTCTTACTGATTTGTAAATTACGCTTTATTCAGTGTAGCGACATGGCTTGTATGTTGCCCATTTTTCACAGGTTCTAGGCACCTTATGTAGGAACCCGTCTCTTTGGGGTTTATTCTGCAAGCCACAGCTTAATGTAAGGTATGACATCCCCACCACCCCCTTGTTTATGACATCTGGACTAAGCAGAAGCCACATTCCAGCTGTGCCAAACCTTGCACATATGTTTCTGCCTCTGGAGAGACACAAGAGGGGGGGGGAAGCAGTTTCATTGCCCACCTTCCCTTTTTTTTGTATTATGATTTAATATAATAATTGCACAGCCACGGTGGCACCTTCCCCGAAACACTGTCTACTTGACAAGCAATTATTGTGATGGCAGTTTGTGCGTGCTAAAAAAGGAAACCTGGGTGTGAACAGGCATTTGCTCTCCCTCCTCCTCACACCTGTTGGCTGCACTGTCCCCTCTTTCTTGCTGCTGGAGGGGGGGGGGGATTCAGCAAGCGCCTCTTCCCAGAGTTCAGGCGAAGAAGGGAACTTTTCGTCCTCCTGGATGCTTGCCAGGATTTCCACAGATGCCAACTTTGCTCCCTTTGCTTGGGGAGGAGGGAAGTTCAGTGACGGAGACCGGATTTGGTTAATGGCTGTGTGACTCACTTAACAACTGTAGTGGTTTGCTCAACAAGCAAGGCGAAAAGGATTATAAATTGGGCACGGTTCGGTTAGCAAGCACCTTGCTTTGCAATGGAAAGTGTGGTTCCAGTTGAGGTCATAGATCAAGGACCACCTACAAAATGTCATGATATGATGCTCTGAGCCACCAACTAGCCAAAGTATGTCATGTAAATCTGGGCTGTAGGTTAGTTTCTTGTTCACTATGTTGTCTAAATCCAAGCCATGGAGTTAAGTGTGTAAACTGTGATTCAATGGTCTGTGGGGAAATGGGCTGTGTTAAACCATCTTCCCTATGATACTCTATTTGGACTGGCAGTGCATAAGATGGATTTACCAACAATTTGCAACTCTTTGTAACAATTTGTATAAACTAGTAACTGGTTTTGTAACAATTTGTATAAACTAGTTACTGGTTTTGGGTAGCTTACAAATTCTAAACCAAACAGCCTATTCCCTTCCAGTTCTATTGAATGCTACACACCGGAAGTTTTTAAGAAGAGACTGGACAACCATTTGTCTGAAGTAGTCTAGTGTTTCCTGCCCAAGCAGGGGGTTGGACTAGATGACCTCCAAGGTCCCTCTCAACTCTGTAATTCTGTATTCCTTTGGGACAGATTTATCCATCATGCTATTTTTTTTCCCAAGCTTGGCAAATTTTAACTTCCAGAATCCTCAGCAATATTCATACTGATTGGGGGATTCTGGGAGTTGAAGTCCAGACAATCGGATGCCCTTCTGCTTGGGAAACCCTGCTCTAAGCCACCTTGTGTTTCTTCGGACTTAGAAAAGCCTTCTCCAGCCTAGTGTCTTCTCTATGTGCTGGACTTCAACTCCCAGAAACCTTAGCTGCCAGATGCAGGGACTCTGGGTGTTGAAGCCCCCCTATGTAAGAGACACCTATCATCAGTGTGAATGCAGCTCCTGTTGACCAAGGAATCTGATCAGCCAAGTTTGCTTTCCAGTTGTTGGTTGCAATGCATCCCACTTCCTTCCCCCCATTTTGGAACAGCTTTGTTGGTGATGAAAACTTCACCCCCATGACACTTTCTGGAACAGAAGCAATTTGGGAATTGCCTCCCTGCTGCCGACATCTGCTTGGGTATCTGAAGCATTAACAAGCATCTGGGGGGCTGTTAGGGGAGAATGGATTAGAGGGAGATGGTAACTTTCTTTTGGGTAATTAGATTGCAGAGATATTTATTTATTTATTTTGGAGAGAGCAGAAAACAGTGTTTTTGCTTTAAAAGACCCACCCAGGCAGGAGATTGCAGCAGTGCCAAAGAGCCTTTTCTAAGCTGAGTTCATTGTTATGGAAAACATCTCCCCAAAATCTCTAGGAATGCAAGCAGGAGCCCCAATATAAAGCCCTGTTTCTCCACCTTAGCAACTTTACCGTTGTACCTTTGAACGGTCACTAAATGAACTGTTGAATTTTACTTAATTTTGTTGTGAGTTACACAGTGACAATAATACTGTCCTATCCTATCCTATCCTATCCTATCCTATTCATTCTATTTGAAAATCAAGGACTACTTGTGCATCTATAAAGTGGAGAGTCTGTGCTATCAGAATTATTCCATTTCTGTCGTTTGGGGTTGGCTTGTGATAAATGTAGATGAGCTGTAAATATCTCTCATTTCCTTGGCTGGGTGGGATTTTTTTGCTGCCCTCAGCAAAAAGTCTCCCCATCTGCTCCGTCTGCTTGTCCTTCTTTTTCCACTTGAGTGAAGATGGGAATCGAAAGGGTGGTGAGGACGGTGGCTGGATTTTCAAAGAAGAGCCCTTCCCTGCTGCATCACAACGGTCCACTCAATGCATTCAAGACTGACTTAGGTACACTCAGCGCACCAAGGTGAAATCATGGTTCCGGGATGCTAGGTTGTGTGAACCAGAGCAAGAGTGTGTAGAAAAGCTGGGTTAGCTTGGGCTCTTGCAATAGCTGTAAACAGCAACACTTCCGTAAATGATGGTTTGTAATGGTGCTGAAATCCATTGAGGGGGTACAGGAGATTCATATTTATAGCTTGCAATCTGTCCTGGATTTGGCATCATATTGTATTAAATTATCAACTATTCGGAGAAGAATGGGCGGATGATTTGATTTGGAGGACAATAAAACATGTGTGATGTTGAGAAAAGGCCAGGTAGATTTTCATTCTGGTGTGCGCGCGTGTGCCTCGTCTGTTCCTGGCGTGTTTAAGTGGGAATTGCCAAGAATTGTGTTCTTTACCAGGCAAATGTTAGTAAACTTGATTGCTTTTTAAATTGGAGGACCTGAGTGGCTTTGAGGGGCTGAGGGAACGGTTCTCTTCTTTCTAAGGCGCCTGGTCCCAAATGAAGGAATGACTCGAAGGGGCTGCAGTGTGCACTGAGCTGATTTCCATCAAGTGGAGGAGTCTGGAATAGCAAACATAATGCTTGAAGGAATTCCCGAAGGCTTTGCATGGAAATAGCGAAGTTAACATAATCTGGGGCTGGAATTACATAGACAGGCACACCAGAAGGCTGCTGGTAAGCTTGCAGAAACTTCTCCCAGCA